TTGTATATGTCTTACAAACTTATCAGATTTCAGTTCAGCAGTTTTCTGTTGGCTTAGATATTTAAATCAAAATCAAAATTTAAGGTAAGAACATTATCTGTGTTTCAGCTTTGGCTTTATTAAAAACAAAATAATTTTTTTTTTTTTGATTGAATTTGTGATAGTTCAGACATATCTTGTTTAATAATTGAAATATTCACTATTATATTAAATCAAACATAAAATTGATTCTATGGAATTCAAACTTTTAATAATATAATTTTAAAGACAGGCAACATATTATATATGAGTAGCTTCCTCTTAACCTTAATTTGTATATTTTAATACATAATGAATGAGTGACAAGATGTATTGGGTATGTTCAGTTCAATGCGTCAGGTATCAAACATTAAAACACTAGCATTATTTATTTAAATATCAAATTTTAACAAATTGAATAGCATATAAACAAGGGAATAAGTATTTCACGAGTATCTTAATAGCTATTTTAATTATCTTAAAAATAGTTTTTCAAAATATAGAGATTAAAAATTTATTGTGACTAACTAGTACATCAATAAATTAATATAATGAGGCAAATTAAATTATAAGATCTATAGGCATTAATAACACATTATTTAGTATTTACAGTGTTCATAAAACCATTAGATTATAAACAAAAAGTGTAAAACCATAGTGATAATTATGCGTTCAGTATCAAAAGTGTAATTAAATAAAATATGTGAAATTAGGTTGTTAAAAAAAAAAAGTTTACTATTTAAATTAGAATGGCAATATAAAAAAATCATTTTTCATGTTCTTATTTGAGTTTAAAAAGATAGTTATTTATTAATAAAATACATTAAATGTACACTTTTAAACTTTTAATACTGATCGCGTGTATAAGATTATATAAATATAGTAAAACAGTAATATTCTAACAAACAAAACTTTTATGAATAAATAAATTAAGTTCCTAACCTAAGGGTAAACATAAAATTAATAAGATAATATAKATATAGAACTAACGAAGTAAAATATATAATATTATGGGTTTTAATCATTTATGGGTTATACATTTATGAATTAAAACTCTTTTACAACCAAACATCCATTATATAAGTACCAATAAGTAATATAATTATACAAATAGATATATTCGCAACACTAATTTCAATGATATAGAGCTTGGTCTATTTATAAATATTGAATACAATTCACTCAAAAAAAAGAAGTATAACCCATGTGGAAAAAAACAATAATATCAAAATTGCCAATTTAATATTATTTAGTTGAACTTCAAAACTAGTTAACAACAACCATTGCTATTAGATCGATTATTTCCGCCGGGTATACTGTTGTTACCGGTTGAATGTTGGGGTCCAATTTTAATACCATTTGCCTAAAAAGAAATAGAATGAGGCAGTATAAATTAATATATTCCAAATAATAGGTAATTTCCAAATGCATTACTAAATTAAAATATAACTGACCTCGTTATTGATATCAAATACTCCTTCTTGAATTTTTTCATATATTTCTTTAGCAGTGTTTATGAAGGCTTCTTCTACATTATCAGAAGTTTTAGCAGATGTTTCCATAAAAACTAATCCATGTTCTCGAGCAAATGCTTCACCTTCTTCTTTCTTGACTTCTCGTTTCGCTTCCAAGTCACTAAGTACATTAGACTATTAATCTAAATTGACTAGAAGTTTGATGATATAAATATTACCTTTTGTTGCCAATTAGCATAATGACCATGTTGGAATTGGAATGTTGTCTAGCGTCTTCTAACCAAGTCGTTAAATGATTGAAAGTATCTCGACGAGTGATGTCATAAACCAATAATGCACCAGCTGCACCACGATAATAAGATCTTGTGATAGATCGGAAAGCTTCTTGGCCAGCTGTATCCCATATTTGCAACTTTATGGGTTTGGTATCAATAGCCACCAAACGTGCACCAAATTCAACGCCTGGAATTTGTTCATGTTAAAAAAACTATGATTACCTATCATTATTATTCATAAAAATATTTGTAACCAATGGTCAGGTCGTGGACGGGCTGGAATCTCTTGTCAGTGAACTGCAACAGGAGACACGATTTGCCCACTCCTGTAACATATGGCCAGTTAACGATTATACGTTGCTGAAGGGTTAGCCTTAGCAGTCAGTGAATACACTAACCTGTGTCTCCGATGATGATGTATTTAAACAGGTACGCGTAAGACATGATGATTCGTAGTAGCTATGGACTATCAAAAACCGTGAGCTAAAAACACTGAACAACCTGCACACTTGAGATCGAAATAAAAATTAAGACGACGACAATAATATTGAACACAACAATGCTATTAGGAATCGCGTAAGACTATTGAACGCGCAGGTGTGTGTTTGTGTAAGATAATATTCGTAAAACGTAATTGATGTTGATCACAAAGCAATGTGATTCATTTTATACTGTTGGAGACAGTATTGTTGTAAGTATACGTAACGAACACACATAATAATAATAATAATAATAATAATAATAATGATGATAATACTATTCAAAGCAGACAAAATACCTCTACCTCTCACACAGTCACACTAATCGAATAGTCTCTACAGTAGTACAGTCGGTAGTCGCCAGTCGCCTCACTGACCGTAACTTTTCTGTTTTCGTAATAAATTGCGTCTTTAATCTTTATCAAGACCATATGATTCAGCCGAGAATGAGTAAGCGAACAAGAAGGCGAATATTATTGAATATATAAATATATGTAGAATATTTTATCAAATTTGTTTCGTCTTCAATGATATGATAAAGGTATTGAATAAAATGGTTCGCGTTGGTTGGTTGGTWG